CACGGTTCGCGTCGTAATTCGTTCGAATGCTTCGCATGCTGCAGTATTCCGATGACCGCCTGGGATTACGAGCATGAAGCGAGGCGGCCACAGGGCCTGGGCTCCCACGCGAGGCATCGTCGCCGTTCGCTGACAGACGAGGCCCACGCTCGAGGCATCCTCACGATTCGCCGCCTTGGGGTGCTCAAGTGCTATGCCTGCTGCAGGATGCCCATGGCCGCGTCGGACCACTAGCAGGAAGTGGGGACCCCATGATTGAGGAGGGGGCTCCCGCTCGAGACAACCTCTCTATTCACTCACAGACGAGGTCCCCGCTCGAGACATCATCACGACTTGCCACCGAGGCCGAGGGGTGCTCAAATGCTACGCCTGCTAGATTGTGCTTGGGGTTACAAATCGGAAATGGGGACCTCACAGAGAGAGGGCTCCCGCTCCAGATTTCCTCGCAGCTCACTCGCGGGTCCCGTAGATCATTGTGCTTCTCAATCCGAGCGGGTCATCGGAACCCTTTAATTGTCGTGAAGTTTCGGGCTTTCTGGATTAAGTATGGAGGAGGTCTCAGGCGGGAGCTCCGTCTGTGAGTGGGTAGCGAGAAAGTCTCGGGCGGGAGCCCCCTGTCTACAGGGTCCGCACCTCATGTTGGTAATCCGAGCGGGTCATCGGCAAACTCCACCAGGCATAGCATTTGGGCACCCCAGTAGGGGCGCATCACGAGGCTTTCCGCACGCGTCTGTGAGTGAGTTGCGAGGAAGTCTCTGGCGGGAGCCCCCTCCCTATGGGGCCCCCGCTTCAATACACGGCAGGCTACCTCATACATCATCAGCAGATAGCGTCAGAGAACAGACACAAGCAGCAGAGAGCAGCAAAGACCAGCAGAGACCCGTAGAGAGCAGCAGAGACAAGCGGAGGCCGTGCATGAGGAAACAGGCGGGATGGACATGGGGGGGACGGAGGAGGAGGAGGTGGAGGAGGAGGAGGAGGAGAAGGACGAAGAGGACGAGGAGGTCTTCAACAAGGAGGGCGAGCAGGAGGAGGATACGGAGGACGAGGAAGACAAGGAGGATGAAGAGGAGGCGCAACAGAAGGCGAGACGGGAGCTTCGGCCATCGCGAGGAGGAAAGAGCGAATGGCAACATAAGTAGTTCAGGGGTCCGACCGTCGGAGTATTCGAAGTTAGGTTTTAGCGTTCGACGTTGAGTGCGTTAGCGGTCGAACGCGTCAACGTTAGGTTTTTGTTCGGGGTGTCGTTCGTTCCAGCTTCTTGCGGTGCTCCCCATTCAGCATTTGCGTTGCTCCAGCGCGTTGTGCTGATCCTCGGAGCTCTCCTCCACCTCCTCCTCCTCCTCTTTCTCCTCCTCTTCCTCCCCCATGTGCGCTGCGCTGCGGCGAGAGCCACAGTTTGAAAAGGAACCGCCTTCAATCCGTCAAACTCTTGCAATTGTTGAAACGAATGTGCGCGGCGCTAGGGCGAGCGCCACAACTTGAAAACCAGTCGCCCTCAATCCGTGAAACTCTTGCATTTCTTTACAACAAATGTGCGCGGCGCGACGGCGAGTGCCACATGTTGAAACCAGCCGCCTTCAACCAGTGAAACTCTTGCAAGTGTTTAAGGCGGATGTGCTCGGCGCTAAGGCGAGAGCCACATTTTGAAAACCACCCGCCCTCCGTCTATGAAACTGTTACCATTGTTTCAGGTTAGGGCCATAGATGGTGAGGAAGTCTTCTGCGACACGCCCAGCCCGCCCTAAAAACTGGCCACGGGGTGCGACAAGGCGAAGTTAATAATGGGGAAGATGGAATGGAGGAGGAGGAGCAGCAGCAGGAGGAGGAGGCCGAGGCTTGAGGGATCCCCAAGACAGCCTTTAGTCCCAGGTCCCAGGAGGAGGAGGAAGAGGAGGAGGCGGACCACGATGAAGAGTAGGAGGACTGGCACGAGAAGGGGGGGCGTACGTAAAAGAGCGCATGGGGGAATGAGGGGGAAGCGTAGTAGTAGGAGGAGGAGGAGGAGGAGAAGGCGGTGAAGGAGTAGGAGGAGGAGGAGAAGAAGGAGAAAAAGCAGCAGGAGGATGAAGAGCAGGAGGAGGCGGAGCAGGAGCAGGAGGAGGAGGAGGAGGAGGAGGGGCGAAAATAGTGGATGGGGGGATCATGGTGGAGCGGTGGGGGAGGAGGAGGAGGAGGAGGAGGAGGAGGAGGAGGAGGAGGAGGAGCAGGAGCAGGAGGAGGAGGAGGGGGAGAAGGGGAAGGCGTAAAAGGAGGAAGAGGCGGAGGAAGAGGAAAGCGCAAGCGCAAGCGCTGGAGAAATTAGCCCAGGCGATGGAGAAACATGTGTGCGCGAATCTCTTAGTTTAAATAGGATAGCGTTGCAAACACTTGGGAAACATGGGAGCGCGAAGAGCTTGGTTGAAGTTGTTGAAGTTCGGTTTTTGATAGTTTGAGGACGGTCTGACTTGTTGAAGTTAGGTTCGATTTAGCTTACTAATAATACGCTCATGTTCTGGAAACAACAGTTTCCACCATGTAAGTTCGAGTACCGCAAGAGCAGCATAACTCCTATATCTTCATACGAACTACATCCGTGGGATAGGCTGGTTTTCTGAAGATGTTCCACGCGAGGGCGCTGGTGTGGAATTCATCGTTTGATTTCAGGGACTGTCTGGAACGGAGCAAGGGGGCCTCTGAGGGCCTCCTTGGGGAGGCTCGGGGGGCCGGTTTGCCGATAACATGTTTGGGTCACAGCAGGCTGCTGTCAGCAGCATGAGGTGGGAGGCCTGGAGGAATGTTGGGACGGCCGGTCTTTGTTCAAAAACGGTCGCCTTCGTCTCGACGGCACCGGGGGATTCCCTCGGCGAGCGTCCCAACACCGCAGCCCCGCCTATGCCTTCTGCAGCGCGGCACAGTCGTACACGCGAGACGTTCCAGAGAGGGCCTCTCCTTGGAGGGTCGAAGGAGCTGCCAGCCATGCCTTAGTCGGCGGCCGAAGGCGGCGGATGGTCTGCGGAAGCCAGCGGAAGTAATAAGGGGCCAGATGCGAACCCTACCCCTACCCCCCACGATTTCGGAGGGGGAGGGTGGGGTTCACTTCGCTCGGGAGCTCCCGAACGAAGTGAACCCCACCCTCCCCCTCAGAAATCGTGGGGGGTAGGGGTAGGGTTCGCATCTGGCCCTCTAAGTAAAACGGGGCCAGCTCTGCCGGTGGAGGGCCGGCGGAAGGCGGCGGAAGTAAAGGAAGCGCCCCCGAGAGATGGCGGCATTTTTGGGTTCAGGGCTTCGGGAATACGCCACACCGATTTCCTGCAGATGCGTGCGAGTATCCCCCACTCGGTGGTCCTGCCTGCTTCGGTTGCGCTTCCCTCTGCTGGCCGTCCCGTAGTGCCGCGGCTCGTCTTTTTGTCCCCGGCCCCCATGGTTGCCTCGGGTGCCGTTTCTCTCCCGCATTTCCTGCCCCCCTCCCCCTCTACGTCGCTCCTGCGGGTCTTGGACAGCAAATGGAAAGCCCATCCCTTGGGGCCCGGGGATGGGTGTGCCGAAATGGGGCACGGGGATAGGAGGAGCAGGAGAATGATGATGATGATGATGAGGAGGAGGAGGAGGAGGAGGAGGGAGGAAGGGGGCGAGCTAGGAGAGGAGGAGAGCGCGGGGTGTTATCTTCAGAACGAGCACCGAACACCACAGGAGCGTCGGGAACATGATGGACGGCCCAGTCCTTTGCCTCCCATCTCCCCGTCCTCTCTCAAGCAGTGGCGAAGCGTCCTGGCTCGCCTTTAGGCCCACCAAAGAATGCTCTGAGAACCTCTTGTGGGTTGCACGACATGTCCTTAGAACGCTTATGGCTGGAATTGCGTTGTTTGATCACCGGGCCTATGTTCTAAGAACCTTGTTGTCGTTCTTCGAACATTGTTGGGTTCTGAGAACCTTTTCGTGGTAGGCCTCTTAGGGATGCCGGGACGGTCGGTCCCTGCTCAACCTTTTGCCTCTGGACGCCAGGGCGCCGCCGTTCCGCCCGGCTGTGCGGACGGCGCCCCCCCCGCGCGCTCGCCCCACGTCGAGGGCGTCCCGCGCTGCGGCCCGCGGGCCGCAGGGCACGCCCACGGCGTGCGCCCCAGAGCGAGCCCCTTACAGTGGAGGCCCACGCCAAGCGACGCCCTGCTCGCCTCCAGGGTGCCCTGGGTCTCTTGGGTTTCGATGCTTCTGCGATGGAGAGCGCGGTGGCCCCACACCAGAAGCCAATGGATCTCCTGGGGTCTCAGGGTTGGGTGTCTCGTGGAAGGTGTCTTGTGGACTGGCCTCCGATGTGCTCGCGCCCGGGCGCGCGTCGGTGCGCGCGAGCGCGCGCGGGCGACCCCTCCATTCTGCCTTTTCCTCGGCGGATGGACGAAGTCCTACACCTTTTACGGTCGGACTGAAGCATGAGAGATCGAGGTCGTTCTGGGGAGGGTACCCGAGTGCTCTTTGTGTTTAGTTATGGGTGTTCTTGTGCATCTTGGGGGGAGGGGACCCTCGAATATTCTTCAGTTTGGCCACCGGAGGGTCTCATGTTCTTGAAGGGTGTTCTTCCGTCCTAGGTCTGATCGTATGCTGACTGGCCGAACTGCGCCCCGCTGGCGACGCCAGCCGACCTTGAGTCGGGGGCAGGGAGGCGCGCGGGAGTTTTTGCGCCGGCACCCCAGTCGCGTGGGTGGTGCAGGATTTCATCCGTCGGCTGTTCTAGGGGAGCGAACAGTGACATGAACATGAAAAGCTCGGAGGTCCGCGCGGATTTCTCGGATCCGGGCTGGATGCCCCTGGCGGCGCCTCTGGCGCCGCCCCTGGCGCGCCCCGCGCGCCAGGGAGGAGGGTCCAGCGCCGATCCGAGACATCCGAGCGGACCTCCGAGTTTTCATGTCCATGTCCTTGTCCGTTCCCCTCATTTCGGGGTCCACGGCCTCTTCGCTCTCTTGGCCCCGGGGGCTCTCGACCGCCTCCCTCCCGAGCCCGCCGCCGCAGAGGACGCCGCCGGCGAGATGGGGAAGGGCGAGGGTGACCCCGACACGTACCAGAGCGACTACGCCGAGTTCATTGCCACCACTCAGACGAGTCTGGATTGCGCCGGGGCCTCAGCCCGAGGCTGACGGGCAGCCGAGCTTCCTGGACCTGGGGAGGAGGACCATTCTGCTGGAAAAGCACATGTTTTGTTAGATGCATATGTTTTGTGTGTTTTCTACTGTCATGATTGGGTGTTTTGGTTATATATATATATAGATATATATATATATATATAGTGATATACTGACAAATCTATAGATCTGGTCGGGAACCCTGGAGCCCAGTACACCCACCGCCCCCTGGGGCCCAGGGAGATCGATGCCCAGGGCGGTGGATGTGCAGAGATCCCGGCGCTTTCACGTCGATCTCGCGCGTGCGCCTTGGAAAATTCGCTCGCAAGTCCCGCCGTGTTCTGTCGGTGCGCTCGAAGGGGGTGGGGCGCGGCGAGGGGGACGACTTGCGAAGGAGGCCTCCGGCCTCCTAGAAGCCCTCCCGTCTCATTATGAGAAGCCTCCATGCCCTCTAAGCCATCTTCTCCAAAGCCCCCAGTGAGGGGCCCCACAGCTTCTGAGAGGTCCTTTGCGCTCGTGGATGGCAGACCCTCTCGTCCAGCCCCCTTCTTGCGCGCCGCCAAGCCGCCGACTGTGCCCGGCCAGACTCCGAGGTCGGCGTTCACACCTGGAGCCTCTGTTCGTCCACAAGGCGGGGAGTGCGCCCGATCCGGGCGTGCGTCGTGCTGCTGCCGTCCGCCGCGCTGCTGATCTTCCAGTGCCTCGTGCTGCTCGCCATGAGCCTCCAGTCCTTCCACCCAATGTGCGTCCACAACGAGGACTGCCGGGTCGGCATGTGGTGCGCGCCGAGCAAGGGCCCCGGGGGATACAGCAGGGAGCCGGGCATGTGCGACGACTGCAGGTGTCCAGCGGTGGCGAAGCGTCTTGGTCAACCCGAAGGCTAACCTACGAACGTTCTACGAACCTCGTATGGGCCTGGATACTGCTCAATGCTATCGTCACGTTGTTGTTGTAGCCTTGTTTGTGTGGCAGCGGCTCTGCGTTCTAAGAACGTTCCGTGGGAGGCCTACAGGAACACCGGGACGGTCGGCCCCTGCTCACAGGTGGGCCACCGGGCTGAGCAACCAGGATTTCGGAAAGCTCCCCATCCGATACAGAGAAGACGCCTACGCGGCCATGACGGAGCCCGACTTGCCGCTCTCCGAGACTTTGGCGAGCGCGGTCTCATATTGCGCCGCCCTGGACACCCAGCCAGACCGCTGCGATTTCATTATCAATTTCCGCAACCAGCTGACTCTCGGCCCGCTGGTCGTGCTCCTCTTCGTGACCTCCCTCTTTCTCATGTCCCTCGTCTCGGACATGGACAAGCACACTCAGGCGTACAATGTGTACCGGCACAGGCTCGCGAATGTGGCCGTCGCGGGCAAGGCGACCGTCTGCACCTTGCTGGCGTCGCTGATCTTCAGCCTGAGGAGGTTCATCCTGCCAGGCCACAGGGCTCGCCCGTGCAAGCCTCGCTGGTGGCGGCCTGCAAGTGTTCCCGATAAACAAGATTTAACTGGCGAGTAACGGCATAAAATAAACTGTTTCGCTGTCAGGGGTCGCCTGTCCCTGGGCGGCTGGAAAGTGTATACCCCTACGGTGGCACCGTAGGGGGATAAACTTTCCAGCCGCCCAGGGACAGGGGCCCCCTGACAGCGAAGCGGTCTATGTTATGCCGTTCTTCGCCCGCTGAAAGACCTGGCCCCGAGAGCCCGAGAGAGAGAGGGAGAGAGACGGGCCCCGGAGCCTTGGCTCGCGGATGCCTCTCGGGATATCCCCATCGGCGGCGAGCTCGGGGGAGCGGCGCGAGAAGGGGCGGGCCGTCTCGGAGGGCTCGGAGGCCCCCCCCCCCGCCTCTCGAGAAGCTTGCGCTGAGCCTTCCCCGACGACGCAGAAAACGTCTCGGAGGGGGCGAGGGCCAGGAGGGGAAAACACACACACACACACACTTAATCAATCGTCGATATGGGAAAATATGGGAAGATATGGGCAGTGGGGGGGAAGACAAAAACCCAGAAAATATGGGAAAATATGGGGGATCCTTTGATTCGTGTGTACTTATTTGTGTGTCCTGGTGCCCCTTCAGAGGGCCTCTGCGCAGCCCCGCCGCCTCCCGGGAGGGCCTCCTCCTCCTTGCTGCTCCCCCCGCGCTCGCCTCCGCGAGAGGCGGGTCCTGGAGCCTTGCTCGCGAGGGCGCGTCGGGTCCCCAAGGGTCCTCCCTGGGCTCACGTCGGGCTTGTCCCTCTGCAGGGGGGATATCTCAAAAAAGTCAAAAACATAGTGCGGGGACGATTTTGTCGATGATTTGTCGCCCCCGGGGGGGGTCTTCCCGGAGCCCGTCGTTTTTTCTCCGCCCAGGATCCCTCCTGTAGGGGGACGCGCCCGACTGAACCTCAGGCCGTCGACGAGACGACTCGGGATGACGGGTCCAGGACCCGTTGCTGCCGGGATCCGCCGCCTTCTCGCCCCGAGGGAGCGCCAGCGTGGAGAAGTCGTGCTGGCCGTGGGGGGAACGGGTCCCGAGCTGAGCAGGTCCTGAATGTGGTCTGCCGCTCGGGCGCTCGGGGCCCTCCACGGGCCCCGTGACCGTCAGAGTTCGATGCGGGATGAAGATCTCGTCCCAGGGTTCTGTCGGGCGTGTCCCCATACAGGGGGAGCTTCGACGAAAAATAAAGAAATACCCCAAACATACCCCAAAAAGGCCAAAAAATATTCAGAAAGTAGTCCCCAGATTATTTTTGGATTATTGTTTGATTATTGTTAGGGTATTTTTCATTTTTCGTCGACAATCCCCCTGTAGGGGGACAGGCCCGACTTAATCCCAGGGGAAGGCCCCAGGGTCCGGGCCCGCTTTCCCCGTGTTGAGCGTGGATTGGCGACAGGCCCTGCTTCCATGCCAGATCGGCGCGCTCCGTCGCCAGACCAGGCGCCACTGGCGCCATACTGTATGCTGTTCCAACCGATTCTTAGCCTTGATCGCCAGCAGGAATGTCGAGCACCAAGAAGATGCCGAAACTTGAGGGCTTTCACGCGACTGGCACTGGGAGGCGCTCCTCGTTCGACACTGCCTCGATACTTTCTTTCCTGGGCGCTCGAAGTGATTTCTGGGATGCGGTCCTGAACTGCGATGGGAGCAACATGAGACATGCTTCGGGGGCTGGGGGCCCCGCGCTGCGTGGGCCTGGCGCCCACGCGCCAGATCCGCGGAGCCCCCATCCATGCCCGTCTGCGCCCGGCTCGGGCCGGAAGGTGGCCCGCGGTTCGGCCGCTCCGGCTGCGCCGCGCTCGGTGGCGCTGCGTTCGGCCCGGTGCGGTCGGGGCGCTGAACAAGGAACCCTTTTCGTTGGGGAGGGGCTCCGTGTTCCTTAATTGTTTCGCAGCTTGCCTTATGTTGTCCGTAGGATTTTGATGGGGAATCGAAGTTTCACTTATGGAAAAAAGGGGCCTCGTTCCTTATTTAGGGTTCCTTAGGTCAACGCCCCGACTGTGCGGTCGGTTGCCGTGCCGCTGCCGCGTCGCCGCGCCCTTCAGCTGCTGCATGCGGCCTGTCGGCTTCGGTCGCCCTATCGGCCTCGCGATCGCTACGGTGGGCTCTCGGCCGTGCCGCCGTGGCGCAGAGAGGCCCATAGGCGCCGTCGCCAGCGCTCCCTGCTGGTCGCCGCCGCGGCGGCGCGGCGGCCCCAGCGAAGAGGGCGCTCACGGCAGAACTGCGCCAGCCAGAGCCCCAGGGTGGTCAGGGATGAGGCCTGAGTCGGTCGGGCGAGTGGTAGCGGGGGGGGTGTCCCAAATGGGTGATGAAACGGACCCTGAATGTCACCACTCACCAAACCACCCCAGCCCAACCCGAAGGCCTCAATCTGACCTCCATTTCCAGTGGGGGGGGGTCGGGGAACATCGAGAAAACACATATGGAACCCGTACCCCCCCAACCCGAAATTCGGGTCTTCGGGTTGGGTTGGGGTGGTCTGGTAGGATGTCAGAATGGGCCCTGCAGTTCAGGATCCCTTTTGGAGCCAGTCGGTGCCCTGAAGGGGCCCCGAAGGGCCCCTCTGGAGTCCTTTTCCTTCACCCCCCATGTAGGTCACCCCCCATTGCCACCCGCCTACCCTGACCTTCCAGGAGGGCTGAAACATAGCACCAGGACCTCGACATCAAAATCCCTCTCGAGGCTCCATGCAGTCCAGGTGGGTCTACAGGTCTGGAGGGCTACTTTGTCTGCACCCTGGAAGGTTAGGGTAGGTCACCCCCCAGTGCACCCCGCCTACAGTGCCGCTTTTACTACATGCTCCGCGTGCTGATCATGTGTTAAAAATTCAGGGATTTATTACTAAAAACAACGATGAGTTCATGCATAAATTTGTTCATAATTTGATCATGTACGAACAATCCTATACTTGTTCAAAAAATCCTATGTGTCAAAAACTGCCCTGTACAGTACGAGCCTCCCGCTTTCGCGCCCAGAGCTGCCCCCCGCACGGCACTTTCCGCCCGAGCTCTCCCTTTTGCGGTCGGCTCTCGGCCGCGCCGCGGCCCGTGCCGCGGCTCCACAAGGGCCTCCGCCTGGCGTGGGCGCGCCCGTGCACCGTGCACCCAGGCCCCGCCGTGGCGCAGAGAGAGTCAGGAGGGAAAGAAACATACAGGCACAATGAATCGTCGATTCCCCCGAAAATATGGGAAATGGGGGGGAAGACAAAACCCCCAGAAAATATGGGAATATGGGAAGTGGGGGGGGAAGACAAAACCCCAGAAACTAGTGGAAAATATGGGGAATTGTGTTTTTTGTGTGCATTTATTTGTGTGTCCCAGGGTCCCTTCAGAGAGGCCCCCCGCGACGGCGGCACTGCACGCCCTCCCGCTCGCCGCCGCGGCGGCCCCGGCTGAGGGCGCCCACGGCGGCACCTCGCTGGCCAGAGCCCCGGGGTGGCCGGCGATGCAGTCGGACCGAGGCATGAGATCGAGGTCGGTTCGGGGAGGGGACTCCAGTTCGAAGGAACAAAAACAACAACAAAAAAAAAAAAAAACCCAAAAAGTGAAAAAAAAATCAAAAAAAAAAAAAAACGCCATAAGCATAAACTCTTGGCGCTCCGCGCGGATTTCTAGGATCCGCGCTGGGCGCCCTGGCGGCGCCGGCGGCACCGCCCTCGGCGCGCGGCGGCGCCTCCGGCGCCGCCAGGGGGGGGGGGTCCAGCGCAGATCCAAGAAAAATCCGCGCGGAGCGCCAAGAGTTTGTGCTCATGGCGTTTGTCTTTTTCTGCTCGTGCTCTTTGTGTTTGTTGGGTGCTCCTGTGCATCCTGGGGGGGCAGCCCTTGGGTTCTCTTGTCTGTTTTGGCCGACGGAGGGTCTCGTGTTCTCGGAGGAGGCTCTCCTGTCCCAGGTCCGGCTGTAGAGCCTGGCTTCGAGCCTCCCGCGTTCGCGCCGGAGAGTTGCTCCGCAGTGCACTCGTAGCTCGAGTTCTCCCAGAGCACATCTCTGCCGATGCAGGTCTACCCATCGGTCGTTGAAAGTAGGTATTTCTGGATTACCAGATTCCAATCTGCTTTGAGCACCTTTCCACTTCAATGATCGAGTGGCTTCACCTTTTCCGTCCTCTTTAGGGGGCGGGCGGACACCCTATCAATTTCAACGCCTTCCTACTTCATGTTTCTATCTACTTCTTACGACCGATGGGCACTGTCCAGCGATCCTGGAACAGGAGTTCTTCCGGATCAAGCGGTTCCAGGGTTTTCCTGTGTCGCATCTGGCAGGGCCCTATGAGGACCAGGGCAATCCCAGATAATTCGGGTTCCCAAGCTATAGTGAGTGGCCCAGAGCCCGCCAACACCGAGCGATCCAGGCTATCTGAGATCCACGAGCGTTCGAGGCGTTCAGATTGAAGGATCTACGCGGCGCCACAAGCCAACGCCGGCGTCGTCTCGACACTGGCCTGCAATATAATTGTCGCGGGTCTCCTCCTTCCAGAAGCTCAGGGACAACTTTAGGAGGAGACCGGCTGAGCGGGGGGATGCATCGAGCCCCGATCGCGCATTGGTCGCCGGCAGGGGCCCGATAGCCCAACCCGCCCATGAGTGTGCGGTCTCGCTGTCGGGGGCCTACCGCCGATCTATCGCCGACTCCAGCTCAGTGATTCCCTGAGCTGTGTCCGCCCCTCCCTGCAAGGAGGAAAGACTGGTCTACTCTGTAAGAACGGTTTTTTGAAGGCAGATCTGCCTTCAAAAAACCGTTCTTACAGAGTAGACCAGTCTTTCCTCCTTGCAGGTAGAGTGCGAATCCAGAGCCAATTTAGGCTCAAGCCTGATGAGCCGCTGATTGCGGCGAAAGCTAGCACCAGCCAAGAGAAGCAGCGAACCTGAAAAAAAGTGGTTCCCCCGCTCCCAGGCATCGCCACGTACGCCTACGCGACCCTCATCCTGGCCGGCCCCGCCACGTCGGGCAGGTCCCTGCCGCTGTCCGCCGTGCTGTGCGGCCTCGTCGTCGGCTTCGTCTACAACATCGACAGCCTGCTCGCCGTGACGGCCCCGACTGGGGGCCCATGCCGATCGAGGTGGATCCGTGTCGGCAGGATCTGTCGATCCGATCGATCCGCTTCGACGCCGACCCAAGCTCACCACCCACCAAACCACCCAACCACCCCAACCCAACCCGAAGGCCCCAATTTATCCTCGATTTCCAGGGGGGGGGGGTCGTGGAACACCGAGAAACACATATGGAACCCGTACCCCCCCCAACCCGAAATTCGGGTCTTCGGGTTGGGTTGGGGTGGTCTGGTAGGTAGTCACAAGCCGGCCCGACCCGATTCGCCTCCGATCTTCCGACGGTCCGACGATCCGATGGCGGCGCGGTGCTTGCGTGGTGTGCTCGTGGAGGGGTGGGGGCCCTGGAATGGGGTTGGAGAGCGATCCCAGTTGGGCGCTCACACGTTCTCGGAGCCCCGAATCATCAGGGGTAATTCGGGTCAGGGCTAACTCGGGTTCGTTTTTCGGGATTCCGAACCCGAGTTACCCCGGGCCCGAGTTACCCCGGATAATTCGGGCGTCCAGAGCCCCACATCATCAGGGGTAATTCGGGTCAGGGCAAACTCGGGTTCCTTTTTCGGGAATCCAAGCCCCAGTTACCCCGGACCCGAGGTACCCCGGATAACTCGGGCGCCCAACGTTCTTCTCTCGAGGGCTAGCCTTGCCGCTGCCCCCACCTGTACGCCCCCCAGGCCTCGGCGCAGCCGATCCGATTCGAGCTCGAGTCTGTCCCAAGGCGGTCCGATCTGGTGCCAGAACGGGCATGTCCTCCTACAGGCGGATCTTGGACGAGGAAAAGCAACTATTCCAAACATGCCCAAACATAGTCAAAACTAGTCCAGAAATCGCCCCCGGACCATTTTTTGACTGTTCTTGAATCTTCCTCCTATAGAGGGACACGCCCGACTTGAATCTGGCGCTCGCTCCGACCCGATCCGACTTCCCGACGCGATGCCGAGCGGTCCTGCCCCGACGCGGCGGCGACGCCGCATCGCGGGCGTCGGAGGTTGAGCACCCCTTCGCCGCGGAAGGTCTAAAGGAGGGTCTGGAGGAGAGCGGCCCTGATATTATGCTCTTGCTTGTGCTACACTCTGGCAAGTTTGCACTCGTTTTTGATGGTCCCAGGCTTGCTGTGGGGATTAATTCTGGAGAGCTTGCTTGCAGGAGAGCGGGGCCCCGATCGGACTCGATGCTGTTATAGATACTCTGGCAAGTTTGCGCTCGTGCTTGGTTGTCCTAAGCTTGCTGTTGGGCTAGCTTCTGGCAAGCTTGCTTGCATGAAGGGGGGGGGTCCCCAGCGAGTCCCTCACGCAAGCCAGAAGTTGCCTGCACGCAGTTCTGCACACGTTTCTGGCCCAGCACGGGCTGAAAAGGCAGCGAGGGTCAGACGGGGCCAGGACAAGGGTAAAATCCGTTCCAGAGCGTTCTCGAACGCTCAGAGCGTTCCAGAGTGCTCTGAGATCGGTGACATACTAATACTGTGTGTGCGTCACCCCCCCAGGGGCGACGCGCGCACCGAGAAATCTTACAGTATATGCGTCGTGGCAGGCGCTGTCTGGCCGCACCGCTCGGGAAGCCATGTACTGCAAGGTGGGTGCACTGTATGCTTGGGTCGGGCGCGCGCCTCCAAGGAGGACGCATACTGCCAGTGTGTCTTTGTGCGTCCCATGAGAAGACCGCGGCGCTCGAGACATCCTCCAGAGCCGCCAGATCTCAGAGATTCCCGCTTCATCCTCACCCGATTGCAGCCTCGCCCTGTCTTCCTTTCGGGGGGAGGGCAAGATGACGCGCAAGCAACCCTGCCAGGATCTAGAACGGGAGAGGCCCTCTCGCCGGCGTCGGGCCCCCGGGCTCCCGCGAAAGGCCCCGGGACCCACACGGAATGCTTCAGCGTGCCCAGACAATCCGGCGAGGTGTGTTTTCTGCCAAGGCCCGGCCCCGGGCCCCGCCCCCCTCGCGCCGTGGCAGGAGCCACGAGGGAAGGTTTCGGTTGCTGTGGCGTGGCTCTCGGGGCCTTGGCTGGGCCTCGGGATCTGCAGTAGAATGCGCAGCACGCGGGCCGACGCACGTCTGCATCGGGTATGGATTCTCGATCCGATGCTGGCCGATCCCGCGCGCTCGGCGCGAGGTCTTGAGCGAGAAGGCGCAGGCGGTCGTCCGTGAAGCCTTCGCGGACATGGAGGCCAACTCGGAGGCGCCTCGTCCCCCCCCGCCCGCTCCAGACCAGCGTCGCGCCTTTGCCGTTGCATCCCTCCCCTCGTCTCCCCCTCCCTCGCCCCTCTTCCTCGCCTCCCTCCCTTCCCCCTCCCCCCCCCCCCCTCCCCTCCCCGTCTCCCCCTCCGTCCCCTCGCCTCCCTCCTGCCTCGTCCTTCCGTCCCCTCTCGCCCACGCCCCGCGCGCTCTTCTCCCTCCCCCTTCGCCCTCTGCGCAGCACCATCCGCTCAGGAGTGCCGGGGTCCCCCCCCCTCCCCCGAGAAGGAATGGGTTCGCACTGCGCTCGCCCCTCCGCGCAGTGATTGTTGCCACCCGCAGGGGTATTCAGAGTGCGAATTGCTGCACGATCCGTGGTGCATTCGGAGTGGCGTGTCCGCTGCAGCGTTGGCAGCATCTTAGGATCGGTGCTCTGTCTTCGTCGGTCGGATGGCGCTCTCGCCCCAGCGGAGGCTGCACTCTCAGACTCGAGTCCTTCCTTGCTCCTGCCGCCCCCTTCCTGCCCGTCCTCCGCAACCTTCACTCGCATCCCCACTTAGATCTTGACTTCCAACTTCGCTGAAAACCTTGCCGCCTAAATCTTCTCCTACATGTTCAATCGTTCTCTCGCTGGGCAGTTATTATTTAAACTCTCACTTGCAGATTCACCGGAATCGCCCGTTAATTCCTCTCCTCGATTCCAAACGTGCTCTAAATAATCAAATATCCACCCAAATCTTCATTCGCGCTCTCATTGTCTAAACGTTCACTGATGTAATTATTCCATTCAATCTTCGCACTGTTCACCTCCATCGTGACTCGCGCGCTCCCGAGTTACGTCCAAACAAACATCTGCATGTACATTTGCGTCTAAATCTCCATTCACGCTCTCACTGATTAAATGTGTACTTCAACCTTCACCTGAATATTCACCCTGAGCTTGATTCGCGCTCTCACCACTTAAATTCGACCTCATTCGTCACCCGAAGCTTCACCTTTACCTCCACTTACGCTCTCACTATTGAAATCTGGACTTAAAGATCCACCTATTATTCACTCAAGTCTCAGCCTAAATCCCTATGCGTGCTCTCACCGTTGAAGTCTTCACCTAACTGTTCACCCAAATCTTTACTCGTGCACTGCCTGGCTAAATCTCTACCTAAATCTGCACGTAACTCCTCACCTAAACCTTCAAGTACATCTGCACCTGAGTATCCATTCACGCCCTCACCTTTTAAATCTGCACTTACATCTACACCTGAATCGTCGTCTAAATCTTAAATCGCGTTTTCAAGGTTTGAATGTTCACTTAACTCGTCACCGACATCTGCATTCAATGCGACATTTTCTTCTGCGTGCGCCCTAGATCTGCACCGACTCCACAGTTACAAGCTTATTTCCCAAGTCTTCACTCGCCGTCTCACGCACATCTTTACCTGGATGCTCATCTAACGCATAAATTCGATCTTCACTCTCACTGGCGCCAGTTTCGCATTAACAGCATTGCTTTGTTTCGTGCCTTGCCGTGGCGTTTTATCTTGTCTACGTGTTCTATATTTTCAAGCGAATCACCACTCGCCCTCTCACCTTTTACCTCTTCACTTGCATCGTTGCTTGACGTACTCGGTCGCACTTTCTCGACACAGTTCTTCACCTACATGTTTTAGTTCGCGCGATCACCGTTCAGAGATTCGCGGAAATATGCGCGTCGCGTTCTCGCCATCAAATTTTCTCTCAAATCTTCAATCGCGCCTTCGCCGTTCAAATCTCCATCGAGACCCAGAGTCTCGGGCAAAAGCCCTGCTTTGTTCCGTGCTGCGTTGCCTCGCCATCGCCGCAAGCAAAATTGTTGTTTCGCTGAACAACTCCACCAACCCATGTGAACAAACTCAAGAGTTTTCATCTGCCGCGGCGCGACCCTGCGAACTCCTTACACGACAACTCCGAATTTTGAATTCATGGTTGTGTTGTCAGTCTTTGGTTTGCTGAGCTCCACGTACGTCCTCCGTCTGAGTAGCTTCTCCTCGTTGATCCACTACGCAGCGGGGCGGACATTGTTTTTCCTGAGACCTCACCAGCGCGTATGGCCATGATACTCGAATGTTCTCCAGCGTGGACCTCACAAGGTACGTGATTGCACTGTGGAGCTGCAAGCTTTGTGGGGCAAGCCATGTTTTGTCAGCTATGTGCTGCAGTACACGTGGTGCGAGCAAGAGGCAGTCGCAAGGCGGCCACGGGCGGCAACGTGGCGAAGCCTCGCCAGACCCACCCAGCGTGCGAGTCGGCCACAAGGCGGCCACGGGCGGCAACGTGGCGAAGCCTCGCTGGACCCACCCTGCGCACGAGGCCGCCACGAGGTCGCCACAGTCGGCAACGTGGCGAAACCTCGTCCGACACACCTTGCGCACGAGGTCGCCACGAGGCGGCCACGGGCGGCAAGGTGGTAAAACCTCGTCCGACACCATGCGCGCGAGGCGGCCACGAGGGGGCCACGGGCGGCACAACGTGGCGAAACCTCTTCCGACACACCTTGCGCACGAGGCGGCCTCGAGGCGGCCACGAGGCGGCCACGTGGAGCAGCCTCGCCGGACCCGTCCAGTCCGTGGTGACGCAAGTGCGGGGACCCGAGGGCAAGCATTGCCTGGGGAATGGTGGCGGATGCGCACGCGCTCACTGCCCGGCCCGAGTCGTGCTGCAGGGCTGAGGTGAACTTGGCATGGCTCGGACGTGTGCAGTTTTCCTTCGGCGAGGACCATCGAGGACCATCCTCGATAATGTCGCGATAATCACCACGCACGAAACCGACAAAAAGCACAGGGAATGGACGTCCGAGCGATGGCCAGTGAACCATCACACCTGACACACGTGCAGGCCTAGGATCAGCGAGCGAAGAACGGATACAATAAACTTTTTCGCTGTCGGGGGCGCCTGTCCCTAGGCGGCTGGAAAGTTTATACCCCTACGGTGCCACCGTAAGGGTATAAACTTTCCAGCCGCCCAGGGACAGGCGCCCCCGACAGCGAAAAAGTTTATTGTATCCGTTCTTCGCCCGTTAATTGGACGAGGACGAGTCGCGGCCGTGCCGCCCTCTGCATCCTCCAGACCCGCTGGCTCTCGGAGGCTCCCGGTGTGTGTCCTCGTCCGAGGCTGCCCTCGTGCTGCCGTCGGCGTAGGTCCCTGCCCTCGCTGCGCGTGCTCTCCAGATCCCTCGAGGCCCTGAAAGCACGACCACCGGTCTGGCACTGTGGAATAGCAGGAGGGGAAACACACACACAGACACACACACACACACACACACACACACGCACACACGCACACACACACACACACACACACACACGCACACACGCACACACACGCACACACACGCAGACAGAGAATCGTCGATTCTCCAGAAAATATGGAAAATATGGGAAGTGGGGGGGGGGAAGACAGAAGCACAGAAAATATTGGAAAATCTCGGGAATCCTTGTATTTGTGTGTATTCATGTGTGTGTCCCAGGGCCCCTTCAACTGTGTGATCGAGGTCCATGTTCCTGCTCACCCGACTTCCACTCCCTGGGGCTCCTCTCAGCCCAAGCTCGCCTCGTCTGCTCCTGCGGCCGTTTTGTTCACGCCGAGTCTGTTCGAGCGTCTGTCGCGATGAGGGAAATGAGACCTTGATTCCTAGACACGCTAACGGCGATGTAGGTAACGGCGATGTAGGTTTGGCGGGGTGGTTC